GTCCTTTAGACTATGCTATCTTACGAGTAAATGAAATTTCAATATATTTCCATATAATGGTCCTATTCGTAAAGAAATATTCCCTCGATGCATCGTCAGAGGTAAAAATTCGGCTCCGCTGGTTCCTCGCGCTGGTAAATACGCTAACACTTGAAATCGCAAGCGGCCCTCTGCTAAAAAAATTGTAAAAAAATGAGTCACCTCATTGTATACATGTACGCGTTACAGGGAGGCTCGAGTACGCGGTTTCTCGGCTTATAACCGTAATATATATATATATATATATATATTAATAATAATAATATATATATATATATTACGGTTATTATAAAGGATTCTATACCGCTTCATATACGATGGCCTCATAGGCTCGATAAACGGCGACAACGCTATCACAGGACAGAGAGAGTTTATAATAAATGAACTAATGGAATACACACATGCAAGTATTGCATAAGCCATCTCGACAGTTTCGAAGTTCGTGCTCGAAATATATTACTGTAGTAGCTGCGTAATTTACTACGCGCTACGGTTTTTGGTATTAATACAATATGCCACTTGTGTTTAAGGTGAAATTTGATTTAATTTTATATGTAAATTTATATACAGCACGATAAATCAAGTTCAAAGTCCTACAATTATAGACGTATATAGTTCCAAAAATTTTTCCTGCGCGTCGTTTTTCGTACGAAAAAAATTATTAGATGAAAAAATTTTAAAAGTGTCAACGACAAATATAAATGTGGACTGCGCTGGCAGATTCATTTCGTTAGCCATTCACTCATACATCAAAAGGTGTATTATCATGTTGTTATTTATACTGTTGCATAGACTGTTACGTAAATTTCAAGTAAATTAGATCGTATTACGGGCATTATTTGATAGCGAAGAATCGATACCAAAGCTCTCATTCAAAGTTCTATTATTAAAATACACATTTCTCAAGTTATAACACAAGTAATCACTAGCACGACTACGCAGAAATCATAAAAGTTTTCAACTGTTTCCCCAAATACGGGACATGATAAAATGGGCTCCGTGTTTTCTCACAGCGATTTATTTCATCGGAGCAAATCCTGTATACACAGCAGGATGAAAAAAGTAAAAAAGCAAGACCAAATGTATATCTATCCACTGTTCCTCGAGGCGTATAACAACAATTATACTACCTTAATAATGACAAAATCATATTGGCATTATACCTTTATAGGAGTTAAAGTATACACGCCGGTGAGTAAGAAGAACGATGACGCATATTATTCTTTGTTTTGAAACTTCCTCTGCGTTGTCTGGACGTATGATCTTCTTTGTTACGGTGCTGTGATATAGACGTTGTCTGCAGCAATTTTTCTACAAAGGTTGATATAAGCGTCATCCCACAAGCACAAATCTTTTTTTCTGGCGAAAAGGTCTTATTATCAATTATGAAAGTACTGTACACATGGAAGGAATTTTCCATCTGCCAGACGATCGCTTAGTCAAATTGCTGCCAGATGGCGCGCGAAAGCATTTCTCTGTCTATTAGCTTGGTCATCATGTCATACAGACGAAATTTTGTCTGAGATTATATAAACCACCGAGGGGTTTAACAAAAGAAGGTATGCTTCTATATGCATTTGTAGAGACTATGAATATCTTGATTCCTGTCTATTTTTAGGCTTGTTTGCATGCTTCTCATCTCGCTAACCGTAGACATTGCATTTGATGTTGTGTCTAAACTGGGCGTAAGCCCAGCCTGCTTGACAGAAAAACACTGCAACAAAATGATCGACTAGACTGGTCTTTGATGTTCAGCAAATACTAATAATAACTAGTGACTAGCAATTAGTATCATTACTAAAATACTCGCTCGGTTCAGGAATTTTTTGTTGTATATTTGTTTTATATATATATATATATATATATAATATTGTTTATCTGGCACGTTATGAATATTGGCCTCGAACCTAGAACGGGTCACAGATCTCTTTTTAGCTGCAAGTCATCATGCTACATCCACAGCCTACGTCTAACGTCCCAGTACAGCCCCAGCTCAACACTATCTTAGACACCCTGTCGTCTCGTTTTCCATTGTAATCAATACTCATTATTAGACAGCCTTATAATGATCATTGGCCACAATGGAAACCCTAAATTTATTTACGGATCGAATATCTATACTAGTTTCTCGGACACATGGATAACGGTTAGGCCGTAATATCACCAAGGCGTCATTTCAAATAACGGTAATTCTAACACTCGAGAATAGGAAATCACATCTCGAATGATTCATGTTAAGCGGGTGATCCCACCAACGTTCGGAGTTCATTTCTGAAAAGAGCTAGTAAGCCTAAATTGGTATTTTTTCTAGTCCGTTTGTTACCGGGAACGTACATTTGCACCTTAGTGGTACAGGACGTCCTCACACAGACATTGGACCTTCGAGAAGCAACTAAAAAACACTGAGACGAATCAGGCTGTTAACATACGGAACAGTTACATAGGCGCAGCTGTTATAGTGGAGACTGACATCTCTCGTTCCCTATTAAGATCCGTTAATCTCTAACTACTATGTTCACTACCAGTGCTATCAGCTTTAGTTCGCTCGATCCTATCACATTGTCCACAATCGTCGCTCACGATGATACTTCCATCGTTTAGCAAATTAGGAATAATTTGCTAAACGATGGAAGTATCATATGTGACTTAAGTTAAAATTTACTGCTTTCGTCTAATTACACAAACGTACCTACTACTCTACTCGTTTCGTAGGACTCGTATATATAACTACGATAGGTTGTGACACGCGTCCACAGTGAGAACTTGAATGATGATTACTGTATCGTCATTCGGATGCGATGCTAGGCGGACGCTTATTTACTGTTTCTAATTGAGTAGTCGCCAGCGGCTGATCATATCTCACCATTTTCAACATGAGCAGCGCTACCACAACGATCTACCGGCGCTGCATAAGTTACCATCTATTGTCGCATTTTTGTTGAGGTGACGATGTAGACAATACGATGACATCTGTGTGTAGCACCTCCATTGAAGAATCATTTCCAGTTGATTATCTACTGCGGCGACGCATCGTAGGACGATTTTGAGGAACGACAGAGATTTACAAAAGTTACAGACAGTAATTTACTAAACAACCTCTCTCTCTAATTAGGCTCAAATTCTGAAGTAATCTACTACGACTCTTGATAATTGTGTGCGTGGCCTCACAGCCTTGGTACATTTAAATATACATAGACGAAGATGAGTGTGTACTCAGGCTTCTAAAAGTTATTTATTACAATCTGGCGTAGTTAATGATATGATAAATATTATGGTAAACTTGACGATAATTGCATCACAATTCACTATCTAAATTAATTGTCGGTGAAATAATATATAACAATAGAAAAACAGGCATCATATTTTTAGCATTATGGCTGGCATTTGTTAGTTCGGATCTCACTTCAGTACAACGGCTATATGGGAAATTTAATGACTAGCAAAACGTTTTACAGGTATCCTAATCAAAAAAAAGGTTCCACTGTTCAGCTTTACATGTATGCAAAAGAGGAAGGAAAATAATCGTTATGACCTCATCATAAGAGGCATAGCAGAATTTTCGAGAACGCTGAAAAAATCATTAAAAAAATACTAATATGAACATACCCATCTCTCGACCAAAAAGTACGTAAACCCTACACCGATAACCTCATGAAATCGGGTTTGTGTTTTCCTACCAAAAATTGATGCGTTCTGAACGTTCGTCTGACGTTAAAAGGGATTAGAAAGATATCCCCAGGCTTAAACCTTTTACTGTCACCTGCATCTACCCAGGGAAACAGAGCAATATAATTGGTTATATAAGCTCAAGTTCAAAGAGACTGTCTATGCTTTTTACCCGCAGAATTTCCCTGTCTATGCTTTTTACCCGCAGAATTTCCCTGTCTATGCTTTTTACCCGCAGAATTTCCCTCACTAATTTGGACACTTCGTTGATATGGCAAATAATTTTTACAACGTTCCACATCGACTGCCGTCTACCACTAAATTTGTGTTTTAAAAAATAGTCTCGGATCGGTGAGCGTCCACAAGTTTGATGTCAATCATTAAACGTCCATCAAAAAGGTATTTACAAATAGATATACAGCAGTCAAGGGTTACTGTTTTCTCGTGAGATCTAAAGAAAATTCAAGAAAATTGATTAATGGGAAGATATTATTAAAAATGTATACTCACAGTAATATGAATAGGGAAAGCGTCTCAAATAAAAACAACGAAGCCAAGCTGAGGTCAAGATTGAGCAATATTGATCACGTGAAAAGTTTCCGGAACAGCCAAAAGCTGCATGTCTTAATCAAATTTTTGCAAACGCTTGTCCATATTAATGCTCCATCTAATTTTGCCATTTCCTTGTGCAGTCCCGGAGACTTGCCTATTTCCGAAATCTTCCTCCTTACGCACTTGACTCCATTAATAGTTATGCGATCTACAAGCCCATGATGGACTACAAAATAGAAATGAACAAAATGTAGTTGACAAGTACCATTTATTTAATGTTTCCGAGTGGAAATGAATCCGATTCCATGAAGACACACAAAACAATCCTTATTCGTTAAAGTATGATGGAATTTACGAATGTCCATTCTCTCCTTATAAATTTCTATATTCAGCTCAAAAATTAGCTGGCGATATATAAATGAAAAGTTTCAGTTTAGAATATCTAACCCGGACTTCGATTAAATACGAGAAAATAGACAACATAGTTTTAATCTGTTTTTCTGCTAAAACTACTGATAAAGCTACACTGCATTTTTAGGTTGCGTTTGGCAAATCCTTGTAGTTATTACGATAACGCTACCTTTCTAGCAAGCTCTTAGAGCGCTCTATTGTAAATTTTCTGCCAGATTATCGAAGGCATTAAAAAAATTCACAAACCATACTAGGTCAAGATTGACGTTACACGTTTTTTGCACAGATATCGTCTACATGTCAACGACAGATTTAGGTCTGGATAAACGTACCTTTGACAAAAAGCCATCCTTCAACGCGAAATTTCTCCTGTATTACAGGAAGCACGGGTTCGGTGGCTCTTGCGTTGCCGCCAAGCTGCTCGTTGCTATTACTGTTGTTATTGTTACTGTTACTATTAGCAGTCACGCTACTGTTGCCACTGCTGTGGTTATTATTATCATGACTGTTCATAGTAGTAGAAGCAGCTACCGTGGCTGTTTTCGACGCTGTGGTTACTTTTGTTGTGTTTGACTTCAAGTCGTCAATGGGCACCACCCCCGGCGTCATTCTTGTTGAAGAGTTCGGATGGGAATTCTCACACGCAAAGGTAGAATTTTCGGTGAAAGGTGGGTAGAAGCTTGTAAATGAAACTTACGATCCGCGCGAACGAGGGTATGCGAGGCTTGCAAGCAACGAATAAGATCGACACTTAATGCACACTTTGTCACGAGGCACATGCGCGTTCTGTCCGACAGATGACTCACTTTGATACACAAATTATTCTCGAATTAGTTGGGTCCTGCCAGTTCTATGTGGTAATGATATATCCTTTACTCGAACGCCTGACGTATGGAAGAAAACAATATCCTTAAGTATCCCTGCGGAACACTACTCACTAACCACAAACAAATGCTTTTTCATTGATCGCAAGCATCAACAACCATTTTGGAGACACACGATGACACTGATAGTAAGGTAATATTTTGCTCCGTTTATCAAATCAATAAAAGATAGCAGAAACAATTATTCCTTGTTATTATGATCCATCATATTATGTAGTTGTATCAAGGTTTTATACAGTGCATCACAATGTAACGCGACCTACTATATGATGTAAAAGCACTAGTAGCTAAAACTAGTTTAGCACAATTTCTTGACCACACCAACTGACCATGCTGAATAACTAAGAAAGACGTCGGAGAGCGTATATTACATATGCGCGCGGCGGGAAGCCGTGATGACGGCAAGGCTCGAGATGGACGACGCGGAAAACTCCTCTGATTTTGTCTGTTTCAGATAGAACAAGCCAAGCCGACCGACACTGACGGGTCGCGTGCGCCCGACAAGAAAGGCGAGGAAAGGGCGGGCGACAGCGGAAAGGGTGGAGCTTCAAGCATCGCCGCCAGGGAGCGACACTGGTCGAAGCGCGTGGCGCGTGCAAAGAGAAGCCTGATTTGACTCCAGACGATACGAGTGAATACAAATGCATGAAACAAATATACGAAACAAATATAGTTCAATATGTTTACAGAAAACAGCAACTGAGCTAGATAATAAGAACGCTAAAGGTCGCTAACTACTAACGGTAAATGTACGGTGCTGAAGAAACGTGTTTATTAGATTTATGTTCTTCATAGCGAAACAAACTGTAGGATGGGTCAGGAGGCTAATGCCGAAGGAAAATTTTAGATGCTGCCAGGGCCCTTAGATGCTATGAAACAACGCTGTAATTAACTTTTATGTTATGTAGGGCAGAGGAAAGAATCTGGGAATACTTACTAAGATTATGGCTTCCTTCTACTGCTTAATTCACTAGGTAGAACGCTCGTCCTGTCACAATACAATACAAGGTCGACGAACTATTGTATTAGAGATTGCAAATACATGCAGCTTCATATTGAGTACATTATTATAATACATCACTGTCTGTATACTTCACAAATTAAATGTACGACTGCACCGGGAGCTCGTGTGCGCATTCGTGGAACTAGTGAATATGTAGCCAAAAGGCTGTCTCCGTGATAAGCTTTTCGTTTCTAAGATTCTATATTTATTGCGATATGTACCACAATAGGAACATTTGAACTTAATTAAAAAAAATTCTTAAGCAACAATGCTTTGGATTATTCCGTACCAAAAAATGCCGTTTACTTACCCTTCAGTTCCTACATTTTTTTAATATTAATTAAAGCTACAACTGAAATGGCTGCTTTCGGTCGTACGGACTTTCGAAATGGCTTTACTTCACTTCAATGACTACTTAGAATTATTCAGCAGATTTACTTCTCAGCGTGATATAGCTTTAGAGCCCTAACAAGATTATTAATATCTAAGGTAGAACGAAGTGTTACTGGAGATTGAGACTCAGAAATTTGGTCGTATTAGTTGGACAATACGTTTTCAAGGCCTGACGTATTACACCCATTTGGAGGCCTCTGTCTTTTGAACGGTATTAGGAAATCGAGTTGATTATGTCACAGACAGCTGAAGCCCAGCTCGAGGAGTTGGAAGATGGTAATTTGGGTGGCTTCTGGGGTTTTTGGGCCGGCAACGGAACTCTCATCGCTGTCGCGATCAGTACAATTATTCAGGTGATGTATCGTTAGTTTTACAAAAAATTTGTATCTGAGAAAATCATTACATACTGTACAATTAGATTTTGTATATCAATTGATTGGAAGAATGTCGTATTACTGAAAGTCCTATTTACAGGCTTCAGCGTAATAGACCCGTTACAGTTATGGTGTCGCTTTCACGAATACTGATTTTTCTAACAGCGGACCATCGGCAAATTAGCGAAGTTAGCAAGAGGGTATTGAAGAGATGATTCTCGAGCACTTAGGATTTTCAGTGTGTCGAAGCAAGAAGAACTGTAATCGAAGCAACTTTCGAAAGGGATATATGCTCCTGCGTTAAAACGCAGCTAGTTACATTGGGTTCTTGTAGAGACGAGAAGTCCGGAATCCAAGTCGGTATCAGATAAGAGATGAGACTTTGCAGTAGCGGGTGTACAAAAATTAATAGTGCTGCATTCAGAACCAGACAAGACCGCCTTATGCATTTCGCAGTTTCAAAGTTTCAATACGAGAAAGGCAGAAATGCTGCTTAGGTTCAGGAAAAACATTGTGCTGTCTATTCAGGACAGAACGTCTTATCGCAAAATAGGTTTTGTCACTTTTGTTTGAAAATTGACCGATAACGGAATAAATTAAAAATTGGTCAAGTCAAAATCGGCACAAATAGACAAGATATCGCCAAAGGACAAAACGCCTATAACCGAACAGTGTTAAACTATATGAGCAAAGCTGACAACAAAAGCTCCATGTTGGGGCGCTACACAAATTGACATAAAGGAATTTACTCGATCATATTTCTAATTCTACTTTGTTGTGGACGGTTGATTATGGGTCATGAGAAGTGCATTACTTACGGCAATACATAAAAAGCTCCATAATCTATGGCAAAGACTAACGATAAGGATTATGGTGGAATGTGTTTGATGATACGCTAAAGCAGCCAACCGCGTTGCTCCGGCACGACAAAACGCGTCATTCTGACCTCTACTGTCAACAACGACAACGAGATTATAACAAGCCATTGAAAAAGAATGACGGCACCTAGTGAACAGAAAAAGCGTTGTCTTTTTCATCTTCACCACAATGCCAGACCATGTATATCTTGAGCTATTTGGCAACAATTCAGGGAACTCTCTATTGGCTATTTTAATGTATCCTCCGTATATCCCGCGTTTTGCGACGATAGCTTTGTGTTTCGGTCTCTAAACGCCTCTCTTAAAGTTCTTGATCCAGTGTAAATGGAAGGGTGTAGTAAAAAAACTTCTCGCCAAGAAATTAGTTCTCCATAATGGGATCATGGTATTACCAGAATAGCAGATTATCGATCAATTAGTGCTTAGTTTACTAATTGTAGTTTGAAAAAAGTTTGATTTTGGTTTAAAAACGGTCAGAACTTTTCAACAGGAAATATATGTAAATTCGATTTTTTAGGTGCTACTTGGGGTTATGCTTTACATGGAGGGAGACCTCATCGGAACCGGTATTCTGTGCATTCCCAGTAAGTATATCGCGAAGTCTCACAAAAAAAAAACGAAGAAACAGGGAAGTAAGATATACATTACTTTTCTGTTCTTCTAATCGGGCTAGATCACTAGAATAAGTCTTCAAAATTCATGGCGACCTATTTGCGGCATAATTCTCAGCTTGGGTTCATAAAATGTTTTCTTCTGCACTTAAGCTCTTAGGATTTTTTTGCAAGCATCTGGCGCCAGGCCGAAAACAGACAAGCTATTGGTGCACATATGCATTCTTATGTAAAAGACAACATGAGTTTTCGTAGCATTCAACAATCGACCTCAAGTTATGATTTACCAAAAGTAGCCATCGTCAGGTTCATAGTGAGATCGTTTTGATGCAAACCATGTACTCTCGTTTGTCCCCGTTCTAGCTTGTGTTGTACTGCCTGTTATTGGTTATCTTCATGTCCAACGCAGCGAAGAAGCGCGAGTTGCTGCTTTAACCGAGAAAAGCCTTAGGGCTAGAAACGACACAAAGGCTAAGGGAATAGAAGACAAAGATGTTGCACCAGCTAGCGGTGACAAGCCAGCCCATGAGAAAGAAGAATAAATTAATATTAAGTGATATATGTGCAAAACAATAAACGGCAGGTAAACGCTAGTAGTCGACTATTGAACACGTGACGAACGTCATGTATGTTCACTGGCGTTTAAAAACTTTCGGTACGGTAGTAATGTACAGGATGGGTCACATAAAAGGGTTGTCTTTATCCAGCATAACCAATCACCGCAGTCAAAACTTAATTTGGGACAAACCGGTCACAAGCCCTTTTGCAGTGGTCCTATGGAAAGATGCGAAAGTTTCTTTGAATGCTTGTGATAGCAGGAGAAAACAACTCGGGCGTTTTCGTTACGAAACCTTTTGCTCAATAGCATATCCATTCGTGGGCTGCGCAACGGTCATGCCAGAGTCTGCTTATATTCTCAAAGAACTAATCCGCTGTAGTAAGTCCGTGCGCTAGTTTACTAGAAAACGCAAGGCTTTTGAGACACTTATCCACGATAGTAGAACGATAAACAACATGCACATAAACTTTACTAATACTGAGGTTAATTTTTGAGAAAAGTATAGGGGCATAACGGTGGCCCAGGACACCACATTCAGAAAAGGAAGTTATGATCAATTCATGTTGTCGATAATGCATTTCTTCGTTAGAAAAACCAAAGTCGACTTCAATTTATTCTTCTGAAAACTGAAAAGCAAATAAGAAGTCATTAGCTTTTAATGTCCTCAGGGCATATCTTTCGGATCCTCAGAGCACATCTTTCGGACTCCCTTGACATCGAAGAATGCATATTATTTTGTCCGTGAAAGGGTAGCCCTAGTCGTGTTACAGTTTGACGATCGTTCTATTTCCATCAGAAAAACAGCGATGTGCATCGAAACGGTGTGAATTAGCTCAAACTTTCCACTGTTTTTCCTTTAGCGCGGGCTTGCTGTGATAAAGCGGGATTTGTCTTCTGTAACTGACAAACGCTGAAGCTAAGTGTCGATGGGGATGCGTGTATAACTTGGATCATAGAAAGTTGATCTTCGTTCATGGTGCACAGATATTCTATTTTTCATCATAATGAACCTTAAGTTTTGTTTCAAACCGAACTCTTCTTGTATCAACAATAGTGGATGAAAGGCTTCCTGCCATTACTAACAGCCCGTGATTCTCCGAAATTAGATAGGTCACCCTCTATATCAGACGTCCAAGAGCTTCGGATCAGTAACAATTGTGGATTAAAATGTTTACTTGTATTGCGTACGGATAGCATTTAGAGTTTTAGTGCCTTATGCGATACCTATGTAAACTAAAATTTTAGGCGGTTGGTTTTGGGTATGAGACGGAAGAGCTGAGCTAACGTTTATCCACCGTTCAAGGAATAACGGAGTAATTTTCCGATACATTATAAGACTGATGATTATTGTGTAAGTGGGGCCGATGACGCTTTATCATAAGAGTGTAGCATCAAAGGCCTCGAAACAACTCCTGTTGTAAGGACTATATCTGCGTTTATAAAAGCAATATCGTAAACAACTGATCAGCGTCTAATAGTGGTATGTACTTGACTTTGTGGACTCAAGGAAGAATGAGACCAGCATTAGCTAACAATTCGAGAAGACATTACGTGAAAACTATTGCATTATTATCGCGATTCTTATCATAACCTCCAGTATAACCTATGGGTAATTTTAAGACAGTTTTTTTAGTAACTATAATACAAACGAAATCAGTGCTCAAAAGACATGCCCGGTCTATGGACACTGTAAGGGAAAATAAAAGGCATAAAGATAGTTACTACTGTGAGTTCATGAAATAATTATTTTTATGTATCTGAACCATCTTTTATTAATTCTCGCACGCCGAAATTGACGTACGGTGCTCGTACAATTGTTTTCCGCAATCTGTACAGAGCTAACTAGCGGTGAGTAAAACTTAGCGTTCTGTCTAAAGTGTAAGGTACCCGTACTAGACAATCGCGCCTAACCTTCTGAATGCGTTATCAGATGCTGCACAACAAATGCTGGATTATATGGATCGCATGCACAGAATTTTGCGCTTACGTATAGCGCAGCTAACCAAACATAGCTATTCCTTCAGATTACATCTGTTATCGTTAGTAGCAAACCACTGCATCTTAATTACATAAAAATTGGCTTTAATCGTTGCAACGACTGCATTTTGAATAATGGCGGTATGACAGAGGTCTTGGCACCCAGAGTCGACAAATTAGATACATGAAGGACTTCACAAGTGCGCAATCGAGAGATTGAAAAAAGTTGTAGGACGTACTTTTTAATAACGTTTTTTATTGAGAATTTTGGAAGTACAAGACCGCATCCATATGTATGTGCCCTGCGCGATTCGACGTCTGGATCCAATAGTTTTTAGTCGTAGCGGCGCTATAGTCTGCGCTAATGTTTTATGTAATAATTATTTTTCACTCTGCAAAACTGGACATATACATAAAGACATTTTCACTACAGTCTACGTACATTTCTATGGTGTGGTAAGATATTCGTTGTTCTCTTGTTTTGTAGTACAAACGATTTGAACAACCTCTCCTATCCTTAAAATCCTAATGTTAGTATTGCTAAAGCCGTGGTCGTTATGGAGCAGGACTAAATGGCGGTTTTGATCCTCTTCTTGTCACCTTCTTCGGGAATAGTAGAGCTGAAGGGCGATAAAGAATTGATCATTGGATTCTTGGAGTAATCAGCAAACAATGCTGAGAGCAGTGCTACGCCATAGCCCGTTGCTCGCTCACCCTGGAGTACAATTGTGAACAAAATCTTTTTTAAAAATAGTTTCAAGTGTATTTCATCATCGAAATCATGATTGCCCCGGATTCGTTCTTTTCTGTTTTGTCTTATACAGTTTCAATGCAAATATGATGCCCTTCAAATCTCGACGTTTATGAACTTTAATATATCATCGCAACATTTGAAACAATACTTACACAATGTGCAGGAGCGGCCATGTCGATATGGATCCAGTCGCCTTCGAAGTCAAAACCAAGATGACTTTGGATGAACAGCCCGCCGCAGGAACTTTGCGCGTTGCTTCGATCGGCGACCGAGTTCTTCATATCAGCTATGGCCGAAGAGAACTCTTTGAAATGCAACTCCGGGGTGTATGGCAGAGGAAAGACGAGGTCACCACTTAGTTTTCCTGCAATTAATGCAGCGTCTTCCCACTTGCTACAAAACGAAAATTGTCACAAACGTTATCGTTCAGAAATAACATTGCGTGTAACAATAGAATTGTTGAATTTTCTAAAATATACTTTCAGCCTTAACACATGAGGTAGTGAAAAAAACTGCTTATTACCACTAGCAAACTTCTACAGATTTACCTTGAGTTGGTGAGTACGGCGCCATGATACTTTCCTGTAGTTATGCCTTGGGTTCCAGTTAGCGTAGCCATATCAAGGATCGTTTTAGCACCAAGATCCTTCGATGCATAGACGACTCCATCAGCTAACACCATTCGACCCTCAGCATCGGTATTGTTCACCTCAACCGTCTTGCCGGAATACATAGTGATAACGTCATCCGGACGTGTCGCCAGTGGGCCGATCGCGTTTTCAGCCAGACAGAACACGGCATGCAGATTCTGCTTGAAACCGCATTTCACTGCGGTACTGAATGCACCAAGAATTCCAGCGGCACCCCCGCAATCCCTCTTCATGCCGAGCATACTGACGCGGGGCTTCAGGCTGAGGCCTCCAGTATCATAAACGATGCCCTTGCCCACCCATGCCACTGTTTCCGTGGCGCCTTCAGGCGTGTGTGAAAGTACTGCCAAAGCTGGAAGCGAGGTGGCCGCTTTGCCTACACTCCAAATGCCACCCAGACCCTTCCTAACAAGTTCTTCTCCACGGATGACACATGGTTTGATGCCCAATACATCGCCGACACGTTGAATTTCTGCGAGGAAAGCGCAAACATTCATTTCCTGACAGGGTGTGTCCACGACGCGGGCTGCCAATCGGACACCCTCCATGGCAGCCTCAAGGGCTGTTACCTCATCGGCTGAGAGCGTTTCTCCCTCACCGACCAGTAGAAATTCAACTGAGATCGACCTCTCATTTTTCGGAGCACGTTCACCGTCAGCTGAATCACCCGATTTTCTTGAATACAGGGGGAATGCGCGGGCCACAGCACACGCGCTTGCAAATACATCACGTTTTTCGCAAACAATCTGAAATGATAGATAACCGACACAGAATTTTGAAATTTGCAGTCTTATGATCTATGGCGGGTCGTATTATTCGGCAAATTCCGCATCAAAGAGTTAAAAAAAGTATTTATAACTTTACCATTGTTGGCTTTTCAGTGAATTTATTTTAACATTCATAAAACAAACATGATTATTTTATCTAGTCGGTAATATTCTTTACACTGCAGAAGCGTATAATAAAGTCCATACGTTTCACTTTTAGCAAGTAAAACCACATAGATACATCAAGCATATCGATATACATTTATTTGAAGAATATGGTTGAATATTGGACATGAACGTACATCCAATATTGATGGCCAAGATGTTTCAAATCGATATAAACTGAGTGCTTGTACCACAGGCCAGTCAGAAAAATGCCGTGCTTCTGTCACCTCTGTAATGCATAACGCCAAATGGAATTTTTTGCCAGCAATAAACGATATGTCTTATACGTCTTTCTTTAAAAAAAAGCGGTTAAAAGTATAATAAGTATTATCCAAATAATTATCCTTATTCTTTATGTACTAATTTAGGATGTTTTGCTGGTGTAGCTCTTACATAAAACATTCCAAAGAACATTTTTGTTTAATTAAGCTAAAGAACGATGTTACGCAGTAGTCATAAACTGTTAGAGGCAACGGTGGATATAATACTGATTCCGCTCGTATTCCGGTTCAGTTCCATTGCGAAGTCTAAGCTTAGTAATGCATATACGTTGTTCAATACTTTGCTCGTAAATTACAACGGGGCATTAAAAACACAACAAAGCATTCGTAGAAGCTAGACTTCGCGTCATACAGTGTGTAGCTAAGTAAGCTAAAAAGCCTAGTCAGTTCTTGAGATATCGGTGGTAAGATATACGAATCTTTCAATAGCTATCACTATCTACCAGTAAAGATAATTAAGTTGATGTTTCTTTAACCAATGAGGTGCGTAATTGTAAGTTCGGCAACAGCGGTTTGTCTGCCAGAATGCTGTTTCCTGCCAATTAATGTATTCGTCAAGCGTGACTTACCACGAGAGACTCGTCAGCTCCCGATGTATGTTTCACGATGGCCTTGGTGACGGCGTGGGCCTGAGTAGGCGTATTATGCCGGGAACACTTCGATGGCAGTTGAGCAATCGATGCCTGATTGAGGTACAATGGTGTACTGTCCGGACCTGATGGAGTCAGACTTTCCTGGGCCGCCTTGAACATGTCAGCTGATACCCTACAATTATAGGTATGATAAAAGTTAAATGTCCATATCGTCACAGGCGTTTCCCTGTTTCAGATAGCACCGACTCTTTGAGCTTCACTACGCTTTGGCTGTTACATGTTTATTTAACTCTATCTAAATAAAATGCTCGTACAAGTTTGCTTGACTGAAGTGGTAAAATGATCACCAAAGCTTTTTTGACTTACTTGGGCTGGAGTTTGCAAGCGACCTGTTCGAATGTCAATTTGGCAATATTTCTTGGCTGCCCGATCAAAACCACAGGAGTTTGAGCAGGATTGGAGACGACCAGAGTACCGGATACCCGGAGGGTTGCGGGGGAAGCCATATTGATCGTCCTAGGAACCAAAATATATAATGAAATCTTGAGACGGTACTATATTACAATGAAATCTTATTAACTATTACTCACTACCTTTACAGGCCGAACTTGCTATCATAATAGTAAACAATAAGTTAGTGCCAACGACAATATCGGTGAGCTGATTCGTAGAAAAATCACAAAGGAATTATTCGGTTGTATTTTTCTTCTAGTCCCTAGAGAAGAACCTTTAAAAAACATTTGCTGATCAGATCAGCTTAGCATAGCAGCTTCAGGCCGTTCTCGAATCATAGCTCTAAATGTCACCTTTTTCTTAGACGACATGACTCGACCTGGGATGTGAGTCCAGTGAAGGGATAAGCAACAGTAGCGGTACCTAGAAAATCGCAGCTGCTGCTGCTATTGGCAGTCCGATGCCGCGTTGACGGTCATAATATCGGAAAATTGGACTGGTTAATAGGTGCAAATATTGGATTGTTGTTCTGACAGCATTGGTTTGCACTCCACTCACATGACAACTGTTAACCTATCCAGCAAATGTCCATGGATTGTTCAGTGCTAATCGCCCGTTCGAACCAGAACAATAACGAAGGTAAGTAAACAATAGCAATGACCTATTGTTACAGCAGCAGATGTCGGCCGCTGTGGCCACGTTTAGCAATCTCAGTCGTTCTTCGGGATGGAAACGTCACCGTCAGCGCAACCACCATCACTGCCATACATCGTAGATACTCACTTGCGTCGCCGGCAGTCGGGCTCGGCTTAACTGGAGCTGTCGCACATGAGCCGATATAATAACAGTTAGCAGTGGTGGCAGCTGCACTCCAAAGGTAGCATGGCATCTTTCTCTCTTAACTTTTACTGACTGGCTTTATCTACTCGTGTCGACTAAGTAAAAGTGTAGAGACATCCTCCCGTATTCTTTTCCATCATCCTGCCTACACAAACACTTTTTTTTCCATTGCTGATACGCTCACTGAGTGAGACCCTCAGATAAACCTGAACACGTCAGCCAGTCAGCCATGCTATACTTGCTCCGGCTCACGCATGAACGTGCTGCCAATGCAAAACAGCCACAATGTGTAATGAGATAAGATGTCATTCTATTCCCTTTCTGCGATCACAGTACGTTATCTATTATAGGAAAAAAACAAGTTCTTCATCTTCTTTATTCGCTAAAAGGCTAATACCAATAGCTCTAGGGGTCTTGTAGTTCTTTGAAATACTCGACGTACTAGTGACATGTTTTACTTAGCTTATCACAGTGTGTTTAAGATACAACTGCGATTTAACATTTAGTGAAGCTAGCCGATAGAGGAGTCGACAAAGACTAAATGCTTGCATAGGGATTTATTTGTACATAAACAGTGAGAGGGTGTGCAATCCATATTATTAATTGCACAGAGAGGGAAAAGCATGTATCACGATGCATCGGTTATAACCCCGTGGAATATTTGCGAGTAACTCTTATCTTTTGTTCTGTTCTACAGTACTACATTCTATTGTTGTTAAACAAACATCCCTGTGAACGTAGCCACTAAATAGGCAATCACACAAACACTCATTATGATTGCCTAAGTTAACAATAAGATTAGATAATGGCACATTTGGTGATCATACGTTAGCAATATTCGGCTCAAATGTTCCTATGTCTCAAAAATAGCGTTTCTCCAAGTTAGGTGTTTTATTTAACCATCATGAATAGATAACACATTCGTAAGCTCTTAAGCTCCCTTACAGATGTTTATTATCCTAGAAAGCGTTTTGCAGTAATAGGGAGTATTAAGCTAAGCTTTCAGGCAAGATTCGACTGTTGTGTCGTTGTATAGGGGACTTTGTTTGAAGTGGCACAATTTCATGTTGCTAACTAGATAAACAATCACCTAATTACAAAAAGCAACCGCCCTTCACTTAACTGATTGTAACTTGAGAATGAGACAGCTCAGCATAACGTTTCTTCGAGTAATAATCTAAAAAAAACACTAAGAAATTCCGAGAACTGCATGTAAATCGCCCCATTCATTCACATCTTCTACTCTTACATAGAATGCCTTTTTAGACAAAGCCTTCTACTTAATGTTAACGGCGTGATTTTACAAACCTGCGGCAGCACTTTTTAAAGCCACTAGTCATCTTATAGCTGTGATAGAAAGAATACACTAAGTCTATTCTTTCTATCACAGCTATATCTGTCTACCGGATAAGTACTGCAATAAATTATTATGATTTGTTACCTTCATATGTCCTATTATGAAATGCTACGGTATTCACGTGACAGAGTTTGAATGAATAAGGCCGTGTTAATTAACAGGTTCTATCATAGAAATAAATAAAGCACAAATACGTGTATGTGATAATATTAAAAATGTTCTGTATGATTCTTTATTATTTGTAAGCAACATTCTAAAGATTGTCTTTCAACATCGGCTGTTTAACCATATAGCACGACATTAACTTCAAATACGACATAAAGGGACGTTTATATATATTTACATTATTTGTATACAACGTACTTCCAAGGATTTATCACAATCATGTTCGAACGTGGACGATGATCGCAAAAGAGTATTTTTTCATATTCATACCACTATGGACGTAACTTCTCCAGGTTTCTTAACGCTAGAATTAGGATTAATTCTTTACCACTTGTCACATTACGATCACCGTTCCATTCACATGCTAAATTGAAATGTGTCGATCATCAGGTTGAACACACGTTGATCGACCTATGAGAAGTTTTCGATATGCGAACACTCATTATAGTAATTCTACTGTTCAGTGTCATTCTACCTATTTGCTTTCAGGCAGTTCGCTAAATTGCCTAAAATTTGCAGGCAACAGAGAAAGCACGTTTCATCACTGAAATTCCTCAATAATAATGATACAGTCCTATTTTGAATTACTTTGCTCTATCATAATTATGTTGCCCTATTTCGCATCTCGATACCTCTTTATGATAGCCATATTTGTATGCAACGCATGGTTATGGTCCTGTCTGATGATGTGCACCAGGTTGTAGGTTGGTTAATCAGAAAATAGTCATTTAAACTTCATTAGAACGTAAATAATGAAAAACACTAAGAGCGAAAATAGGAACAACCACCAAATATATCGATGGTGCCCTGCTTGGTGTAGTTTTAAAACTCGACCGATTGCCTTGCGAAGAAGACCTTCGGACTTATTCATATCATCGTCGAACGCCTCCAGGAAGCGGTTGTGCTCCTTAACCTCGTTGCCAATGTCGATGGAGACAGCCTTAAGGGTCGAAATTTTGCCTCGCAAAAGGTCAACCTGGTCTTCCGCCTCATCCTCGACTTCGTGACGTCGTCGGGTGCTGTTCATTTCAACGCTATGGCAAAAACCCGTCAGGCTATAGGTGCCGTCCGCACAGATTATAGCGTCCGCCACAACCACGCTAAAGATTTTGCCTCTTCTTTAGCGCGCTGTAAGCGTTATCGCGCAACCGTATCGATGCGTTTCCAGCGCCACACGCAGCAAGGCGCGAATCGCACAGCTGCTGAACCACACGACGCCTCAACGGACTGTCTCTGCAACGGTCTGGGACTAACGTGAGCCTAATAAACGAGTGCGAACGAGAACAAAGGTACTTTTACGGCATGATCGGGTGGATCGAAATATTTAGCGAATAAATTCACTAACTAATAAATACAAACGATTGAATTAATCCCTGTAGATGTCAAATGGAATCTCTCTGGCTGACAGTCACCACTTAGCTTCTATTACGCAGAGAAAGAATACACCGCCTTTAAAGTCCACTCACGCTCACACCCAAACAGACCGGCAATAACACCATGTTCCAAAACCAAACAACACACAATACGAATTCGAAAGCTGATAAAAATTAGATTTATATACCAAGGAGCGCCATAGAAAATTATGAAATAACCGATGCAGCCGACTGATGGCATTAGTAGCATTGTTCGCTAACGTATATAACCAAAACAACAGTATCAGTGCGTCGTAAAATCTTAAAAAAAGATTTTACCAGGCACTAATGCTAAATCACATTAAATACAATTTACTATGCTAACTAGTCGCTAACTAATATACGTTAGCATTAACTAAAACAGGAAATTAGTATCAAAAATTTATGGCAAAGGCACTTAGTAATATTATTGTAGCTTACTCTTTGACCAATAAATGATGAAATAAATGCCGTATATATCAAAGGAAATTTTTCTACTTTGCAAAATTGATTCCAAGGATATGATTAAAATACCCATATAGAATTAAATGATAATGATTCTAGCTTTGCGATTGTCTAGCGATTGTTATAGAATCATTATCATTTGATTCTATATGGGTATAT